TCTTTACTTTTCCCTCACAATTTTAAAACTGCTACCATTTTTTTTTTAAACCTGCTCTGCTCCAAACAGTGCAAATTGGTCAGGTTTTCTTTGCATTTTTATTTTGTCATATCAGGCAGCATCCTAATGAATGTGCATCACTCCAGTTCTATTGTCTTAATGCCTTTCACATGTGAAGTGCAGAGCTGATCGTTAGTTCAAAGGTGGTTTCCCCAAGGTCTTTACATAAATTCACAATTGAGTCTTGACATATATTTCGTGCCTTTTACTACAAAGTCCTGTATTCCATTATTTTTGTTTCTGGCCTTGTGCAGTTGAGGTGCTGCTTTTGATATGAATTTGGAAACCCCTTATCTGGCTTTGCTCCAAAGTGTAATTGTTTCTTTTTATAAACCAAAACGGACCACCTTGCATTTACGAACAGCCAATTCTGTTTGGTATATTCTTCCGGCATTCTACCAATATGCCCTTGTAGCTTTCTTTCGTGCCTGGATAGCAATTCCAGTTTTAGCTTTGCCTCCAGAATTAGACAACAGTCCCTTTAGCGTTACCTACAAATCATCAACGTACACAATTCCGAACAGAAATTTGTGAAACACCGTGTAAATACTTTTAACCAGGATCTTGCGCACACCTGCCCAACCAAACCATCACCACCCGATCTTTTTTCCCCTCTCCCAACTAGCTTTTACAAGTGAAAGTTGCTAACATTCCTTAATTCCATACTTTTCAATGTTTTCTAACAGTATTCACATGGCACCTTCTGAAAGACTTTCAGTAAATCCACATTAATTTATCCTCTCCCCTGGTTTCTACCATCCATCTCAAGGAAATTTATAGGGTCTGCTAAGCACCACCTCCCTTTTGGAAATCAGCACAAGGGGCTTCAAATTATTACACTGTGCAAAGCTATGGAGACGTCCACAGTAACACCTTCGATTTTGAGGAAATGAGTTGAATTGAAGGAGAACTTCGCCAGAATGAGAACAAACTCAGCCAGGCAGAGGAGAACTCATTGGGTTTCCAGACAAGGAAGAAGTAGGGAGTTCTGAGATCATCCTGGAGAAGTTTGGAAATGCAATTGAGCATCAATTGTTAAGAGGAGATGATTAATGCCAGGAAATTGGAAGTTACTGATGTGAAGTTGGGCATAGGAGCCATGATGCAGGCAGGTAGAGATGGTTCAAAGTGTTAAATATGTACCTGAAAGGGCTAATATTTGATTGTGTGCAGTGAAGCACTACCCACTGTGACATCATGGGAAACTGGTCAGAGTAAAGGAGGAGTTTACAGTGGACACACCTGTGGTTACTGTGCACCTAACAGTCTCTGTAGCCATGTAGGTCATATTCATACAAATAAACTAGCTGAAGTAATGCAACAGACTTCATATTCACTATTCCCAATGATATAGACCACACATTCTCCAGTATTGGTGCCAATGGTCCAGGGACAGGGCTCAACCTTTCCAGTCTTTGAGCCATGTATTCAGTTCTCTAATTTTAAGTACTGCAGAAAACAGCGTACACATACATGGAACTTTGGCAGAATGTGATGAATGGAGTTCCACAGGGGTCTGTGCTGGTCTTCAACTTCTTACAATTTACATTAACGACTTAGACGACGAGTGAAAATGTGGTAGCTAAATTCTCCAATAACATTAACATGTAGTGGAGAGTATGTTTCAAAGATGATGTAAGGAGGTTGCACATTGTTATTTCTAGTAGAGAAAAACACTAGCAGATGAAGCGTCATGTGGGAAAATGTGAAGCTTTTCATATTGGCATGAAGAATGAAGAAAGCAGAGTTTCACAAACAGAATAACTGCAGAACACTTTACTAGGTTGATACCCAGATGAGTGAGCTGTTTTAAGAAGATACGTTGGACAGGATGGGCTTGCTCCCACTGGAGTTTAGAAGGGGGAACATGTTTCACATGTTCATTTAAAATGGTTAATATATGGATAATGTTTCCCCAGAATAAGCAATCTGAGCCTATTCAACTTCTCATGTTTCAGATGCTTTAAGCAATTCATCATAGCAAGTTTAGGTCCTGAATATCAAAGACAGCAACCAGTAGTATACATGCACAAAGACACCACAGTCTCATACAGACCTTTCACTGCCTGGAATTAACCACTCTATCCTACAAGTTATACATTCAAAATCAAAATGTGCCAACTGTTTCTATGAACCATATAGCAATAATTCCAGATTTTGTTCAAGTGGTTCTTGTAGTCTACATCTGTTGAGTTTAAACATCATTTCTATACCCAAGATGAAGCTACCTCTATTTAATGTAATTTTCCATTCAGTATCCCATTTCCTCACTCAACCTAATTGCCATTGTGTTTAGTTTATCTGATTGTTAATATTCAGAACATTATCTTTCACAACTTGGTAACATCTGTAAAAATGATAGTGTTCTTTGTCACCAGCTCTGAGTCATGTATATATATTATAAATATATAGCAAACTATAACTGAACATAAAGTAATTACTGTTTATTTACAATTGTACAACTGATTAAAAATTATACTTGCGAAACTTACTGTGTCTTCAATTTGTGCAATTACGATTAACAGACTGTAACATGACTAGTCCCATAAGCCCCTCTAAACAGTATGGAATCCTGATCAAATAAATTTCCTCATCCATTTCTGTACCAGAAAAAAAACTGCTCATTGAATTCATTGTCATGTTGATGCAGGATAATTCATAACTCAACTGATATTCCTTGATTTTAAACATATAGAAACATAGAATATAAGAGTAGGCCATTTGATCCCTCAAGCTTGCTCCATCATTGATTATGATCACGACTGATCATCAAGCTCAATATCCTAATCCTACCCTCCCCTCATATCCCCTGATGTCTTCAGCCACAAGAGCTATATCTTCCTCAAACAGAGTGTTTTGGCCTTAATCACTTTCTGCAATAGTGAATTCCAAAGGCTCACTACTCTGTGGGTGAAGAAATTTTTCACTTCAGTCCTTATCCTTAAATTATGACCCTTGCATCTGGACTCCCTTATCATAAGGAACATCCTTCCTGCATCTAACCTGTTAGAAACCTATAAAATTCCTAACAGGACAAAGAGAACCCCCTTACTCTTCTACACTCCAGTGAATACGATCCTAACTGGCTCAATCTCTACTCATACATCAGTCCTGTCATCCCAGGAATCAATTTAGTAAATCTTTGCTGCTCTCCCTCTACAGCAAGAATAGCCTCCATCACATAAGAAGGCTAAAACTGCACACAATATTCCAGGTGTGGCTTCATCAATGTTCTGTATAGTTACAGAGGGACATTCTTATCTACGGAGACTGTGCCAAATCTTTTACAGGGACAATTCCCTTAAGTTTTTTTTTCATAACCCTACAATTTATTCTCAAATATTTATCCAACTCCTTTGAGAAGGTAACTTTTGAATCTGTAGCCATCATGTTGTCAAGTACTGCATCCCAAATCTTAACTGTTCACTATATAAAGATGATCTTCTCATATCAGCTCAGTTTCTTTTGCCTATCATTTTAAACCTGGAAACATATCTCTTCACCTATCCTATTCAACTCATTCATAATCTTAAATATCTATTAAATCTTGTCTTGGCTTTCTCTGCTCCAAGGAGACCAAAGTGAATGTTCTCCAGTCTCATACATCTAAAGCCGATCCCTCATTCCTGTACCATTCTAGTAAATATCTTCTACCCCGGCTCTCCAAAGCATACATGTCCTTCTAAACGTAATGGATATTTATTTTTGTGCTCCCCTATAGTGAACAGTGAAGAAGGATATCTACGATTACAATGAAATCTTAATCAATTGGGTCAATAGGCTGAGGAGTGGCAGATGGAGTTTAATTTGGATAACTGAGGTATGGAAATTTGTTGCAACAAACAAGGGCAAGACTTATACAAGCAATGGTAGAACCCTGGGTAATGTTGCAGAACAGAAAAACCTAGGGGTTCAGGTACATTATTCTTTGACATTTACATCACATGTAGACAGGGTGCTTAAGACGACATTTAGCACACTAGCCTTCATTGCTCAGACTTTTGAGTATTGGGTTGGAATACCTTGTTAAAGTTGTACAGGACACTGGTTAGGCCACTTCTGGAGTACTATGTACAGTTCTGGTTGCCCTGCTGTAGGAAGGATATTAATAAATTGGAGACGGTTCTGACAAGATTTACCAGGATGTAGCCAGGAATGGAAGATTTGAGTTATAAAGAAAGGCTGGGACTTTTTCCACTGGAGAATAGGAGGTTGAGGGGTGGCCTTATAGAGGTTTAATCATGAGGAGTATAGATAGGGTGAATAACAAGGTCTTTTCTCTAGGGTGGATAACTTCAAAACTAGGGGGCATATTTTTAAGTGAGAGGAGACAACTTTAAAGAAAGGACATGAGGAGCAACACTTTTTTTTAAAACAGAGAACAGTTTATATGTGGAACGAACTGCCAGAGGAAGCAGTGGATGTAGATACAGTTACAACAGGTAAGACATTTAGATAAGTCCTTGAATAGGAAAGGTTTGGAGGGATATGGGCCAAACGCAGGTGAGTGGGAGTGGATTGATTTGGGAACATGGGTGGTGTGGGCTAGTTGAACTGAACTGTCTGTTTCCATGCTGTCACTATGACTCGCTGATCTTAACAGGCAAAAGAACAACTGTCAAAGTTAGTATTTTAAACTAGGTTGCACATAAATGTACCATGCTCAGTGCTGAGCATTGGATCCTTGCAAGTTTGAACTCCCTGATCTCAGCTGTTGGCTGGCCTTGGCTGGTGGGGAGAGGTAAATAAATTATACTGGGAGCTGTTCAGTGATAAACCAGACTCCAGGCATCACTATCCACTCACTCCCAATTTGCAATGTGAGGGAAGCTATTTGTGTGAAACATCAGACATCTAGAGAACCTAATTGTTTAGTACAAACCTGAGGGGGTCAGCAGGGGTGGAGGAGAGAGAAGCACAAGATGAGAAATTGTACTCACCTCCATGATGGTGAGAAAGACTTCCTCCATTTTCAAGTATCTCTTCTCTGGCTGAAGCCTAATTTAATAAAAAAAATCAAAACTGTTACTTAAATACATTCATCAACACACAGCTCAAGTTCAAACATCACTTTTGATTGTGTAGAATCAAACTATTATAATGCTACCCAGAAAGATTTCCGTGTACACTTTACTATTAGCAAAAGCCACAAATTATACTTCCACTCTTTTCTATGGGCGTTTTCAGTAGTTTCAAAACATATTTTGATGCGCATCAAAAGTCATGGCAGTGGCAATACAAAATTCAGGTCATCGTGTAACTGCTCAATTTCAACACATAGCAAGTTACATAAGAAACATTTAAATTTTACAATAAATTAAAATTTAAATAATATTATTTGCTTTAAGATCATTAAAAAAAAATTTGGTCCTTTACAACGTTTAAGAAAGAGCCTAAGTATTAGCCAAAGACAAGCATGAAAAGGATGGAAAGAGAACACAATGCTTTACACGTTGCCATAACACATCTGAAACTGATGTCAAGTATAATTCAATCTTTTCCTCAAGTGGAAGAACAGCTATAGTCTACCAAAATACTCCAATCATTTCAATGTGTTGAATTTTTACAAAATTGAGGCAAACGTTCTTCGAAATAACAAAGGGAGAGTTTGAAAGTTTCTAAAAATTGCTAAGTTCCTTTAATGACAGCTAAATCTTCGGACAAACTTTTGATAATAACACAAACTTAATTTTGCTTAATTTTCTTTAAAATTTCAATTTCCTCCCATCTTTTACTATGGCCTGCACCAGACAGATTTGTCAAAGTGCTGGCCTGCAGTGGTGACCATCTGATGGTGCTCACAGAGCATTTCGGATTTCAAACATGGTATCAGTGTCATTATGTTATATGGACCAGAAAATATACCAAATATAGACCTTAATACAGCAGACATTTTAAAATGCATTACCTTTTGGGAGGGTGCAAACAATTAGCGTTTCAATATTGTTCAAAAGCTTTTCGTCTTATAAACAAAACAAAAGGAATAACAAGCGAAAGACAAAAAGAATGCCAAATTTCAAACAATAACAACAATTTATGCCACAGGAGAAAGGGGTGCTTGATTCATTAGCGAGTCAGTTCTGTTTGGCCAAGTCATTAGCATGGAAAATGCAACAAGGAACATCAGGCTCCCAAAGGTCCCAACATAATTTTAAAAAGTGACAAGGCTTGAACATACTCATGTTGCTTACAGTGAATGGGTCTGTGCAGACGAATGTAGGTCATTTCTAGCAAGAGTAAACATTAGCTCTTAATTTGATGGTTAGCATAGCTCAGGGTTCCCAAAACAGGATTTTGGGGCTGAGAGTTCACAGGCCATAATGAGATATGGTGACAGAGATTGTGTTGGGAAAGTCTTGGGATTAGCCCTGAGTTCCCATCTTATGGGTGGCCCAATTTTGTTTTTCCTCTAACTTGTCATGAGGGGTGGAAACCAGCTTCACACAAGCAACCTCAGTGTCTGCTAACAGCATGCCGATTCTTTTGCTTCACCATTCACTGGGAGAGCACGAGAGTATACCTTCATAGATGCCACGCATAACAGGCTCAGATCATCATAGCATTATAGGCCCACCTTTATTTTCTGAATTTGTATTCAACAGACTGAGGGCAGCAACATGCACCAAGTTCAATTTTACTGACACCATGTTTACCCAATGGACAGTATAGAGATGAGATCTCCTCTAGTTCCAGCACCAGCGAACATTTTCAATGATTTCCAGAAGAAACATGTTACTGAGACACGCCCTAACCTTCTACACCCAGTAAATTTCCCGTGCTTAGATGAGAAGTTCAGGATCTTTGAATCTACAGCTACATGCAAAGATGTCCTTACTCAACTTAGCATATTCCATCCTTGACTCAATTCACTTTGAAGATGGAGCAATCTAACGTACTCCTTTTCCTTGACATAACTGTTGATAAATCTGCAAATTAATTTTCCACTATTAACCACCATAATTACCTGTTAATATGCATGTTGGGATTCATATAGCTCCATACACTATAGGATTGACCTTATCATGTAAACAAAACCCTTGCCATTTACACACAGACAGTGAAGTAGAAGTAGAGAGCAGCAAAGCTATATTGTAATAGCTAAAGTATCAAATGATAGTACACTCACTGTGCATCATGCAAACTTGCAAGTGGGCCACCAGCCACAACACTGACATGTAAAGTGCTTGGTCTACCTCAATTTACTTCAGAAAAGCCAAGTAACTCAAAAACCTTGAACAGTTTAAGCAAGCTATTAAATGGTGCTACTGTGCAATGGCTACGCAAATAATATTTTCCACTAACAGGACACTGTGATCAGTCCAAAAAGAAATTCTGCCTACCACTATCAAGGGATGGCCTGTATGAATGGTTTTGCCAGTGCACTGACAGCTATGTAGGCCATACATCCAAATGACTAGCTGCACAAGTCAGCATGTTCCCTTTGGCTGTTTGCAATAAGATGTACTCAACTAATCCTTGTTTGCAAAAAAAATAAAAAAAGGTCCATGCAGTT